TCCCTCCCTCTCTCCCTCCCTGCCTTCCTTCCTCCCTTCCCATGCTGGAATGGAACCCAGGGCTTTGCAGGTGATGGGCAGGTGTCCACCCACTGAGCTACATACACATCAGCCTTTTTATATTCTTTTGAGACAGGTCTCACTAAATTGCCTGGGCTGGCTTTGAACTCGCCACCTTTCCCTCCTGAGTGGCTGGGATTACAGCCACCTTTCCCTCCTGAGTGGCCACCGCTGACGTCCTAACCGTGGCCTTGCCCTGAGACTCCCCAGTCTGATGGAGGAGCCGAGACCCTCCCTCTGAAGCTCCCAATCTGAAGGCAGAACCCGTGGCTGCTTCCCCGGGCTGGCAGGTCCCATCCGGGTTGTCCCAGGTCCGTCCCTCACTCTCAACCAGCCTTGGCCAAGGAGCCTGTGCCCGCCAAGGCAGTGACAGTGCAGGTGCCCCAGAGGAGAGAGCCGGGACTCCGGAGGCGGGCTCAGGTGCCAGAGCTGCAGCAGCCAGGCAGCCGGCGGAGCTGATGGAGGAGGTCTCCAACGAGGCTTCACAGCGGTGGGAGGGGGCGGGGCAGGCGGGCTGGGGGCGGGGAGGGAGGAGGGGGCTGCACACACCAGCCCCCAGTGCGTCCAGCGCCTGTCCCTCGGCTCGCTCAGCCCCAGAACCGCGTGAAGGGAACCTTGTCCAGGGTGGAACTGGCCCCAGGACACTGGTGACAGACCAGAGTCCCTGGGGAACTCAGCGTGGAGGAATGGGAGGGGTGGACAGGCAGAGGCAGGGTACCTGCCCGGGTGACTCACTCACAGAGGCTCATGGGCACCTGCCAGATGCCTGATGCTTCAGCTGGGGCAGGAGGCGACCACCCGGTCACCACCTCCTGACGCAGACCCTCATGTGACCTCCACTGCACTGCCCACTGTGCTCACGGTCCTCAGCTTGAGCTGGAGAGAGGCTGGCACTTGCTCCTAACCACAGGGCTCTGGTGGAGCTGGTGGCGACTCTGTCCTCTCCGCGGGCCTTTGGAAGCAAGTGTGGGCAATGTCCTGTGGGCCACATAGAAGCCAGTCCTTCCCCGGCCCAGCCTTCAATGACACCGGCTGCAGCTTGTCTGTGTCTCTGGCTCATTTTGTGTGAGTGGAGCTGGTGACTGTCCGTGCGTGCTAGGGAGGTGCCCCCCAGCGAGCACGCCCAGTCTCACCCAGCGCTTTTGGTTTTGGCTGACAGACCTTGGACTCCTGGGTTCAAGTGATCCTCCCACCTCAGGAGCTGGGAACACAGACACACGGGGGCCCTTATTGTGTGTGTGTGTGTGTGTGTGTGTGTGTGTGTGTGTTCGATACTGAGGATTGAACCCAGGGGTGCTTAACCACCCACATCCTCAGCCTATTTTTTTACTTTGAGACAGGGCCTTGCTAAATTGCTGAGGCTGGATTCGAACTTGCAATCTTCCTACCTCAGCTTCCCACGTCACTGGGATTGCGGGTGTGTGCCATGTGCCTGGCCCGGTGTATTCTACTTTCAGAGTCCCTGCCGATATCCCGGGAAGCCACACTGGCGATTCTGTTGCTTTAAGCCAGGGATTTTGGGAGTAAGGTGTCACGCAGCACTGGAAACATACACGGGTGAGAACACACCGCTGAAGGCCCCTGCACCTCAGCCCCTCGCTCTCACCATGGTTACCCCCTTGTCCAGGGAGCATCATTTTACTTATATTTTATTATTGTACCTAATACAATAAAATACATCGTATAAAATACTTATTTATTGTATTTATATTATTAATCATGTTACATTCTATTAATATTTATTGTTTCCATCTTATTAATTTGCAGTGCTCTATCACTGGCTGCCTCCACAGCCCTTTTGAGACAGGTCTCACTAGGTTGCCTAGGCTGGCCCGGAAGGTGACATCTCCCTGCCCTGGCCTCCTGAGGGGCTGGGATCACAGGTGCACAGCCTTCTTTTATTTTATCTGGATGCTTGATCTCTTACACCCCCCCTCAAGAAGAAAGTCACTCTCCGGAGGGGGCTTTGCCTGTTTTCACTGCTGTGGCCCCAGTGCCTAAACCAGAACCGGGTGCACAGTAGGTGCTCAATAAACACAGGTGAAGGGGCAGATGGACTCGACCTTGTAGTGGGAACAGGAGTGCAGCTGGGCCCAGGGTCCTGCATCTCCGGTGCTGCTGGCCCTGCTCTCTGACTTCCGCACTCCCTGTGGCCACCAAGTCATGGCAGAGGGGTGGGCTTTGGGGCTTGTCCTCAGGTGGCCGCGGCTGGGGAGCTGCAGGAAGAGAGGGGGCCTAGGGAGGGCTGGAGTCTTGTCATGACCCCGCCCTGGAAGGCTGGGAACAAGAGCGGATCGAGGAGCTGGATGACCCATGGTGACTCCCTGTGGGTTCTCAGCTCTCAGGGGGTCAGAGGGGCAGGAAGAAGGAGCACACAAGTAGGCAGGTCAGGCTGTCAATAAAACTTTATTTATAAAGACAGACCAAGGGCCAGATTTGGCCTGTGGTTGCAGTTTGCATTTATTTGACTTATATTTTATTATTGTACCTAATGTAATGGAATACGTCATACAAAATCCTTATTTTTATATTAACTCTACTACATTTTCATATGTATTGTTTCTATTTTTTTATTTTGCAGTTTAGAATGTGGTCAGATTAAAATTTAGCGCTGTTAGATAAATAATAGTAATAGATGCTCCATGAACTTGGCAAAAGTTAAGTGTGAATGAATCAAAAGAAAACAAGGAAGCCAGGTGCAGTGGTGCACACCTACAATCCCTGTAACTCAGGAGGCTGAGGCAGGAGGTTCACAAACTTGAGGCCAGCCTCAGCAACATAGCAAGACTGTCTCAAAAAACAAAAAAGGGCTGGGAGTGGCTCAGTGGTGGGCTACCCCTGGGTTCAGTCCCCAGCGCCAGGAAAACAAGAGAATTTAAGCAAAAGGGTGGTTTAGAGCAAGGGCCTGGGAAAGGC